CTCTATATGAACTTATGATTATAATATTCGGACCAAAATTAATAAGAATTAGAGACTTTTTGACCTTGTTTATACCGAAGGAACCCCATATGGCGCAAATGTGACAGTTTGGAAAATCCATAATTAACGATGAACTCAACTAAATTAAAGAGATTGGAAACGAACCATAAGAAAGTATATAAGCTGGTAGATTCGTGAAATATTATAGCAAACCGCGCAACGTGTCAAATCATTGTTTTCTCTCAAATACAGTGTTCATCAAGAAACGTATGGAAAATTCTTAAATTTTTTGAACTGAAGCACATTAAACCCAAATCAAACACAAATTTAAAGAACCGTGGAAGTATATGATGTTATAAAATTTTATAAAATCAATAATTTATTTATTGACATTAGAAAAACATTGTCTTTTTACAATATTTTGTAATATCAAGCATCATATTATTATCTTGTAATTGCTTGATGTTCTTACATATATTAAATAATGTTTAAATTTTGTAATTTCTATAAATTCTTATATATAATGTTATGGAAGAAGATTTGTAATTTTACTCTCTTAAATGTAATAACTTTGAATTTATGATCGATGTATCTCAAAATGGGCAGAGAATACCTCTGTGATATAATATCAATAAATCTCATTTGAAACTATAAGATAAAGAAATTTAACAAGGAGAAGCAGGGTAGAAAGGAGCAGTAGAATTTTTTAAATTACACCATTTTACCTGAAATAAAATCATATATTCATAATTTAAGGTTAAAACGAAATATTTTTAGAATTCTTTATTATAAAAAAGAATGCTGTTTTTATAATCATTAATTTTTACACAATTCTAAGCATCAAATCAAAACTATTGAAATGGGGGTGAGATGAATTTAAAAAGAAATGTTCATTTGGTCGCCACAAAAATTGTTTTGGTTGAAACGGAGTTCAACATGTCTACATCCCAAATTTTTGGTAATTATCTATTGAATCTGCTTGGACATTAAATAATAAAATGACAAAAAATTAAAAAATTTATTTTGATAACTAAATTTTTCATGTTTTTTCGGTTGAAAAGGAATATTAACCTTATTTTTAGAGTTTTCACACATGCCTAAACGGGTTTTTCGAAGCATAAGAATGTTGCATAATTTAGAAAGAAGCCGCTTAGTCCTTTTGTCGCTGCCTATTTATCATAAAATTCGCATTTACGGAGTTCTCAAGGATTTTGCAGTGCAAATTTATCTATTATTTTTAATGTCATCGTCACCAGCATATGCTCATAAAAAATCAAACACAAAAGAGAGGAGCTGCGGGTATACTGACTAATGAGCTATGCAAACGGCGCGTCCTGGGCAGAAGAATGACCGGCCGGTCGGGTGACCTCTGCGAGGACACCGGCCACGTGATGCATGCGAGTGTGAACGGCGTCGGGACAATGCAAGTGCATTGTGCTGGGGGCACGCGGCGTTGTTTCCGGCGTGGCCGTTGCTGCGTTGGCCGCACCTCTCGGCGGGCCATTCTCGCGTCGTACGCAGGCCGGCCGACAATGGGCCGCACTCACACCACCACTCACATCTCATGAATGAATGCCACCCTTTGTTGGCGCTTGATGAGTCGAGCATCCGCGCGTCTCTTCTCAATGAGCCCCGAGATGAATGGAGAGAAGGAAGAAGAAAGTTATACGCGCTTGGATTTTTTTGTACTTTTTGTGCCCCGTCGACTTTTGCTGTGGATGTGGCCTTTTGTCAGATGAAGAAGAATTTTTCTTTTAAAATTTTATACAGAGTCAGTCTCTCCTTCTTCCTGTCAAGTGAATAGATTTGCCTTGAGAGGGTGCCAATGAGGAATTTTCGAATCGAAAACGGCTGCGTACTTCCGTCTTGACCTTCTTCTTATTGCCTCTTGAATGACGCAATGAATCGGACAATGCGTTTTTTAGTGGTTTGATGGTTTTTCTCTCGCCATTGTCCACTCCATACTTCCTACATATTTGCGGCCGGTGTACCTTTTAAGTGGTGCTAGGTGTCAGAATGGAAGAAAAATTGCGCGTTTTTTTTATAGATTATTAACGGTCCAGTTTTTAAGAGGAAGTCGGAAACCACTTGAAAGATTCTCTTGTGAAGTACCGCTCAACGTAACAGATTTGTGTTAAAGTTGATGAATACAATGCGGAAACAGGTGAGCGATAAAAAGTCAAACAGCTGGATTCAAGATTTGAGAGTTTAGGATTCCTAATTTTTTTTTTTATTCAGCTATTGATTTTTGACGACGGGTACAAAAGATTCAAAGTTTTTCTGAAGAATTTCATATTTTTTGTAATTTTATTGTATTTCTCATTCAAAAGAGGTGACGTTATGCAACCTGTACGACAGGGAAGCGAAGCAAATTGTCATTTAAAAATACAAAAGTAACAAAAACACAAAATTCAAAATTTGTTTCGCACAATACGCACCATTTTTGTTGATGTTTAAATTTTGCTAGTTAATAGGAATCAAGATTTCAATCAGTAAAATCTGAAAGATTTGGGTTTAATTGCCCTCACTCATCAAGTATGGAAAAAATTACACAACGATCAGAAATTTTTATAATTGACCTGATACTTTAAGTAAAAAAAAAAAAATCAAAAGATTGGCATCAATCACGACTTCCTAAACTTTTTACTCCTAAATTAAATTCCAAAAAGTGAGAGAGTAGATCTACATATGATTAACACTTTCTTTTGGTGTGCCAATCTTTATACTTTTACTTCTGTAATTTCTGAGGCTTCATTATGCATTGGAAAATATAGGCAGCAATAATTTAAAAGTTTTCAAAATGTTTTAAGCGCGTTTTTTTATATTTTAAGTTAATTTTTATCAACATAATAAGCCTTGTCTGGTTATTGCTGATTTTTTTTTCCTAGTGGTGAAGATTGTTTTAACACTTTAGTCCCCCCCCCCTCAACATTAAATTATGTTTTTCTTATATTGTAAATTTGTTATAAATATTTGGACAAATAAAATTACTAAATATTAATTTTTTAATTCAAACATTTGTTTTCTTTGAAACAAAAGGTAGTCTAAAAATAAGCCTCAAGTTTAATCTTCTTCACATTGAATGAATGCAAAGAAAACTCAATATATATTAATGTTATTTCCCCCTCCAAAATGCTCCTTTGATTCTTTTTAAACAATAGTCTATAAAATAGAGAAGACCCTTTCGCAATATAACATAATTCGATTTTGTGTTCAGAATAGTCAGAGGTTTATGGTGTATGTTATTAGTAAAGTGGTTTTCACACCATTGTTGGAATCAATTTTATCTGCTGGAATTAAGTCACGCGTGTTTAATAAATTTACCACCAATTCACCAAGGGCGGAAAGAGGACGTGCATTTTTCGAGAGGGATGCCGCACTAATAAAAATTCCAGAGTCAGTGAACTCAGGCGGACTAATAAGTGCGTCGACCTTTTTTTGGCCAATAAAGCAATAAAGTATTAAGGGTCTATGCACTGTGCGTGCGGAACGAAATCGAACGTTCTTTGTTCTGACAGGTTGATGCGACAGACAAAGGAGTTTGCCACCTTTTGGCATGTAAACAAACAGACCCTCCTCTATTGTGCTAAAAGGGTGCCTTGACCTTGTTCAAATTTACAATCACGCGCACGCAATCCTTTTGTTTGCTGTTGGCGGAGAGGTTTTTCACCCCTTTGCTCGAAAAGCGTTCTTCAACCCTCGAGTCAACCGCGTGCTTTTAAAAAAGTGCAATGACCGTGAATAAAAAGCAGAAGAAGAATCTTTTCTTTGTGTTTAAAAAATTTGGGGGAAAAATAATCGAGAAGAGAGGAGAACGAAATATACCCGCGTTAAAATTCCGCACAATATGTTGCATTCACATGGTACTTCCTATTCTACAGGAAAGACAGAAATCGCTACTTAAAATTGAAATGACCTAGTGAATAGTTTGTTAGTATCACACAAAAGTTGAAAATGCCCTTGTTAAATATTTAATCAGTTGTTGTTATTTTGTTTTATAATTTAGATTTTTTAATTTGATTTTTAAATTTGGTTTCTGGAAATTTATAAAATTATAATTATTCATGTTTGAAATTTCTCCAGTAATAATATTTTTATATATGTTAAAACAAACGTTGAGTTTTAAATTATTATTTACACTCCACGCTTGAAATGTAATAAATACAAAGTACTATCTTATAAATTGTAAGCTAAACTCGTGAGTTTTATGAAAGATTGAAATTCACAATAAGGTTTAAATCTTTCATGCTATCTTACAATTAACGATTTTAAATAATACAAAAATCCTACGCATGACCTGGTTAGGCTGATTTATTTAATTACAAAACAAGGCAATACTTATTCAAAGACCAGTTTGTATTCCAGAAACATCTATATAATAGACTCTTTCATTAAATTCCTGTTAGCCTACCGATGAAATCATCGCCGAATTTGTAAAATTGAGCAAAAAGTGCTAATTGCCGCCTATAATGTCTTTTTTATCAACCGTCAGCCGCGAGATATACAATATATAAAATTCGCACACACGCTAAAATGTACGATCATAAAAGTGCTCTTGCTGTTCGGCCATCCAGTTTAATGGGCTAGTATTAGCAGTTTGCCATTTTTTGCGCGCTCGCCTGCGGAGCACACAACGCGCGCGGCCTGATGGAATTAGAGAGAATAATCTTTGTCAGTCTCTCAACCTCTTTGGTGCTCATCTCTGCGTGCACAGGTGCTGTCCCGTTATTATTGTGGCGAGAGAGACCTTTTCGTGAATTGACAACAGCATAAAAGCAAAGTACGCCAATCCTATACGTACTTAACAGATTTGGCCACTCAAAAATTATAAAATTGCAAAACAAAATTAGTAAATAATCAAAGTAATATAAATACGCGATTAATAATAAACTTCATTTATGCAAGATGGAAAAGAACAAGATCATTTATAGAATTAATGTGATTTGCCTTTTTGCAATTTAATAAATATAATTGATATCAGGCATAAGAAGTTTACTTACTTTTGTGCTGTAAATGTGCTGAAGAAGTGGGCCTCGTCAGCTGACCTGTGAACAGTTCATCTAAATTAAATGCAAGCAGCATTGACATTGACAAAAATATAAATTTATCTTCCAGAAAATTAATACGGCCAATATGAATATGTAAAACACATTAAAATGTCAGTTGATCAGCCTCTCATACTGTAAAGTAATATGTATTATTATCATGGTATAAATTTTGTGAACAAATATTAATTTGTCAAATGCACTATTATTCAACTTTATTACATTTTCACCATAATTCAAGTAATATTATAAAGAGAGAAACTATGCTCAATTTTCATTGACAAATAATTGTTACCAATGAAGGCAGATTGGCAGATTTTTTCATCACCGATGACTACCTTTATATTGAATTGTATGATTTTTTAATTTTTTTATCATTTTTATTGATAATATCTTATATTTCAAAAAAAGACTGAATAATTTCTAATGTTTATAAATTATTTGAAATATTCAATTTAAAAAAAAAATCAAAACTTTATTATTGTATTATTTATTTTCAAACACATAATATAATAAAATTGATAAAACTTAATTTTTACGATGAAACTGCTCACAATATTCTAGTTACCTTTATTTTTGAAAGAATTTTATTTTTTCAATTTACGGCACAAAAAATTATTGGTCCCTTAAATAAAGGGAAAATGATTATTTTTGCCTAACGGGAAATACAACATTATTTTACAAATTAAGGATTTCATGGTTAGAATCTTCAGCTAAAATCCAGATTATGAAACAATTTTGACACCTTTCTCACTTTCATTTCCCGCTACCATTTAGCAGCAGAGACAAGGTCAAAAAGTTTCCCATTTGAAACCTGTATTCAATTTTTGCAGTTTCGGTGTAAATCGTTTCTATGCTCAAAAATCGTAAAGGGTCTCTTCATTAACTTTTACGACACAGCAAAGCAGGCAGAGAGCAAAAACGAGCTCTTTCTCTCATACATTCCGTAAAAGGCTAAAATCCACAAATCGACTTTGCGCGGTCAAGAAAGTAATAAAATGGACAGGAAAAAATGCAATAATATATTAACTCCAAGCCTCATAGCGGCACGCATAAATCGGAGAGCTGCTTTCTGATATTTTTCTCTCTCGTTCGCGTCGTGTGCAGTGTGTAAAATGTATAGAAATAAGGCACACAGGCGGCATTAATTGAAATCCGCCGGTGCAGTGATTAATGGGTCGAGAGAGGCGCGCATCAGATATAACGCGCGGCGTTTTATTTTCACATAAAATTGTAAAATCTTCGCTTCTTTCACCCACGAGGTCACCTCCGGCACGCCAAGAGAGAAAGATGCATCTCTCGCAAATAAGGGTCACCAGCAATTGCGAGAAAAGAGTGTGCGACCATTAAACTCATCATCACAGGTGCTGCGGAGATGTGCGGTCAAGAGGTCAGCGCCGGGCAAAGGTCTCTCAACGTGCACAGCAGGTAGACTAAAAGGCCCGAGCGAAGATTTGTGTTTGCTAGAGAGGGAAACGCCGCTGCGACTTTTCCCAGCCCAAGTCTCGATACGTTTGAAAAATTAACTGAGTGTTTGTGGCAATAATAAATTCACATTCGCCAGGATTTCCATCTTATAGCAAGATTGTAACTTTGATGGATTTGATGACAGGTCCGGAAAGTTTAAATGCCAAATTTGATGCATGTTTTTATGTCAATCCCGTATTAAGATCTCTGATGAGAATCTTCACAATCCTTTTTCTTACGCTCATGAATAAAAAAAATCATATCAAACATTTGTCAGCATTACATGGTTTTATTAATCTCGATAAAATATTTATGAAACAAGATAATATTCAAAAGCTCAAATCAAATTTGTGATAATTTTTATTATATCTTGATGGAGAGCTGGAAAATTTTTAAAATCAAATCTTATTTTAGAAAAAAGATTTTAAAAGTATCAATATTATTTGAAAACTATAAAATTACTTTTTTTGATGATTCTTATTTTTTATGTGAAAAGAAATTAAAAAGAATTTTAGGACGTAAAGAAAGGTTTATTTATCTTTTATATTTTTAATTATTATTAAACAAAATTTACCAAGCATTCTTAAATAAAAAAGCTTATTAAAATTTTTTTTTTAAAATATTGAAATTCTTTTAAGTTGCATATTTTCTTGTTCGTTAAATTTAGCATAAAATAATATCACCTGTAGAAATGAATAGAAATTTTTTTATCATTTCTTGGTGGAACATCGCTGATCGCTGTATTTGGGAGTGCTAGTGCATTCATAAATTATGTAACATTGTAGTACTTGATAAAACCTTTGTAGATAAAATGTGACGGATAGTATAGAGAGAAAAATGGAAGGAACGGTTGCTCCAAAGTCCAAAGTGCTCACAAAGTGCTTATTGATAATTTACCTAAAAAGAATATAGAATTTTAATCTCAGCCGAAAATATCTTTACGACACACCTGATGATATTTGCATTTGAATTTCGAGCGAATTCTATTCAAAGTTATTACTTCCCATGCCTACATTCGCCCCTGAACTTTGAGTATGCAAATCTAGAAGAATAAAAGCACTAGCAAAAACGAACACTATGCAAATAGGGGTGAGAGGAGAGAGGCAACATCATTTCTCCATTTTATTGTCAGTGAGTTTTGTTGCCAATAAAAAAATCAGCTTGCATTTCACCGCACAAAAAGAGGAAGCTTCGTATATGCGTTCTTCGATTGAAGTGAAAATAAGAGGGTGCCGAGACAAATACATAATAATACAAAATTAAAAGGGAGGAAGTGCAAGCGGAATGAAAAAAAATTAACGCGGGCTCTTTCCGCGCATTATTTCCTTTTTTATATTTATTATTTGAAAGGCGCGCGAGTCCGTTTCTCACGGTCGAATGGGCATCGGCTTATCAGATGGAACTAAATAGTGGTCAGTCAGGACTAATCAGGCAAAACGCACGTGTGCCGCCTAGTAGCTTCTCAGGTGGATTGACGAATTAAGAATCAAACTGCATGACTTCCTCTGGCGACGTGCAGCCCGCATCCTCTCGCCACCGTCTTTTAAATAATTTACTTTGCACTTGTCTCGCGCGCTCGCTCGCTTCAGATCGATTAATTCCAACAGTTGTAAATTATTTACACCAGCACCAGTATGATTGGGCTTTTAACGAGCGCTTTTATACGGTTGCGAAACTTAAAAGGTATTTATTATAGACGCCGCGCGGTGTTGTCGTTAAAAAGTCTCATAGAGTCTATAACGCTCTTTTTTATATGCAAACAACTTTTATCTCACGCTTCTCAAGATAAAATTAATGTGGTAAGTGGACAATAAATTTCTACTGAAATAAATACGGTACATTTATTTTAGTTTTTTGAATTACAGAGGAAAATTTCGAATATGACAAAATATTGGTGAAACAGACAAACAATTTTTTTATTTATAGTAATAACTTTTAGAATTTTCAGAGATTTAAATCTGAGAATAAATATGCTCTAGCTGTTTCATAACTTGAATTTTCAGCAGCAATTTGATTGGAGTAAAACTATCTGAACATTTCTCAATTACGATATTAATTTTTAAATATATATTTTAAAGGTAATATTTACAAGCGACGCTTACTGACAAAAATGTGATGCAAGATGCAATGTTAATTATATCATGGTCATTCGCACTGATTCGCACAAATCATAATTTAAAGAAAACGGACTTTTTGTTATATTTATAGTGCAAATTTAATAAATCAATTTAAATCACACCAAATAAAAAAAAATTGTTAAATACTTTAAATAACAAATATTAAAAAATGGTAAAAGTTGAAAAAATATGAAAGTAAATTATTTTTTTTATTTCAATGTCAAAAGTTTGTATCATTTATATTGATTTAATGGCCAACAACAATGCTTATTATAGCATTCTGTTCTACAATATTTAAATTGTAATTCCTTACAAAAATTTGGGCACACGCATCGATATAAATTTTAAGTTGTAAACAATTTAGGAGTAATTAATTTGAAAACTCTTGATTATAAATTGAATTTTATAAAAAAAAAAACTCATGATACTTAGGACCAAAAACTCGAAATCCTCTCAAGAGAATCACGACTTGATTAATCACAGTCGGCAGGCAGGTGTTTTTCGAAGAAATCCGCAAGAATTTCGCCCTAGCAAGCTCCGAATTGGGTCACTCTACGTGAGTACCCGTCGCTCTCTCGGAGGCAGAGAGATCCTTTTAATTCGCGCGAGCTTTGGCACGACGCAAGGCCCACACACACCTGCAAGCGCCCGCCGATAATTGAGCCGCGGGCAACTCACCTGACACCGGCACTATTTATCGAAATGCGCACCGGCCGCGGTCACGACGCACAAAAATACATAGAGCGGAATTTCTGCACAAGTGCTGGATTTTGCGTTGCGAAATAAAGAGGGACGTGCAATCATTATTATTGTGTCTGACGGGCCAGCTCGCGAGCAACCCGATCACCCGTGGCGTTTCTCCGCCTCGGGCTCCTCTCTCAAGATATAATATAGAGTGCCGCGTTTTATGACTCGGTGCGCACATCACTCAATTGCTCACTTAATTTGTACTTAGCAGGCTTGGGTGCGTTGCCCAATCAGGCAGAATGATTGCAAATATAGACACTGCTCCGGTACAGTAAAAAACTCGTTATTTCGTGATTTATATTGGATTATATAGGGGATTCTTCAAAATATTCAATGCAATTTGAAAACGTATATTATTTCTTAATAGGATCAAATTGAAGAATTATTATCATTTTTTTTTTCTTTATAGATATTGGCTTGTCATTTTAAAAAAAAAAAAAAAATAAATAAATAAATAACATGCAAATGTGATTAGTTTTAGAAAAGTGTAATTTCAGCAGGATGAGTTTTGTTTGACCAATTGATATTGTATATTACTTGGAAATTGCACCGCTGAGAATGAAGTCAGTGATTTAATCCAAGTATATAGGTTATTTCATAGACGAAACTTTTTGAAAAGAACAAAAATGAGTGATGCAATGCTCAAAAGTTTTAATTGTTAAATCAACA